AAAAAAAAAAAAAAAGACCAACAGAGATAGCAACACAAATCAATAATCCCTCATGATACAATCACATTCTTGTGATCCATTTCCCAAAATCATCCAGCTGTGTTACCAAAATTACCATTAGCTTACCTTTTCTGAAAAAACAATTTGATACGAAAGGAACATTTATGGAAATGACAAAACGACCAATAACCCTGAGACCACATGCACCTCCACACCATTTAACATGCTCTCCATACCTCCAGTGCAATCCCACAACAGTTTAGTGACAGAGTTGACAAATGAGCCACTTTGAGTCTTGAGGACAACACCCAGTCTGTTGTTGGGATTCTCACCTGTCTGGTTTTGGCTGAGGTCTCAATAAAGGGAATGCCGTAGCTACGTGCTAAGTCCTGAGCCTGCTTTGTGTCCACTGTCCGGGACGGGAGGTCACACTTGTTCCCCACCAGCACCATGGGGACGTCCTCAGAGTCCTTCACCCGCTTAATCTGTTCTCTACACATTCACAGCCAGAACAGAATTGCAGTTTTAGTTTCATTTTACTTGTGTAGTACTCCATTGGCTACGTAATACGATGTTAGAAAACACTGTACAAACAAACCACACTGAACACACAAAACACTTGTAGTGTACAGAATGACTTTCTATAAACTGCAAGTGTTGCTGTAGTTTTCAGAAACAAGAACATTAATGACTTAAGCTCAGCCCCTTACAGAACACTGATACACATATTCTGCTGTAGTTGTAATTCCTACAGTGTTTTTGTACATTTTAATAGAAGATCCCATATATTTACAATATTTTAGTATATCAGTAAGTTGGGGGCGGGGGGGTTGCTACAGTAAAAAAATAAATAAAACTAAATAAATAAATAGCAATGATACTGGTATTGATATTGAACCGTTCGATACAGTGCTTTCGGTTCGGTACGCATATGTATTGAACAATAAAACATTTATTTATTTTATCAACTCTTCTTCTGACGATGCTGTCTGTGTTGAGCGCTCAGTGGATCTGTGTTCGACTACCCGCCTAGGCTGCACTGTCGCGTGCAGATCCACTGAGCGCAGCGCAAGCTAGCAAGACAGAAGCTAAGCTCCTTGCAACATGGCAACTGCCTCAACGCTACCCGAAATTGAACCTCCCCCACCCTCATTCAGATCTGGCGTTTGGAACCATCTTGG